ATCTCCTCACGCTTAGACTACTGTAACTCTCTTTTCACGTGTCTGAGCAGAACCTCCTTGAACCATCTACAGGTGGTTCAGAATGCCTGTGCTCGGCTTCTGACCAAGTCCTCCAAACACACCCACATCACCCCACTTCTCCTCCAGCTTCACTGGCTGCCAGTCAACTTCAGGGTTCATTTCAAGATCCTGGTTCTGATCTATAGGGCCTTACATGGACAAGCACCATCTTACATTGGTGATCTTCTTAGTCCCTACACCCCCAGCAGGTCCCTGAGGTCCAGTGATCAAAGACTACTGGTTGTGCAGCACCAGGCTAAAGACCAAAGGTGACAGATCATTTGCTGCTGTGGCCCCCAGACTCTGGAACTCTCTCCCCCTGAGCCTGAGATCAGTGGACTCAGTGGTCTCCTTTAAAAAGCAGCTGAAAACTCATCATGTTCAAGCTGGCTTTGGTGTGACCTTCGTCACCCTCTCCTTCTCTGCTCTCCCCACCTATTTCACCTTCCTCAGGATCCACTGATTTCCCTCTTTCCTATTCACTCTCTCTTTCTTTACATTTTTAAATCACAATTGTCTATTTTTTTGCTCATTTAAAATATATTTTTAACCATTTTCTAAATTCTTTTTTACATTTTTACATTATTTGTTTTTGTGAAGCGCCTCGTGATTTTATCTTGAGAGGCGCTGTAGAAATGATATTTTCTTCTTCTTCTTCTTCTTCTTCTTCTTCAGATGACCTTCTGAATTTATTCATTAGGGTTTATTTAACAACCGGTTCATAATTCATCGTGAGTTACATACTAACGAAGCCTGACATGGATTTTTTCTGGATGCAGGCCACTGGAAATGGAAGGAAGTTAATCCATTATTTAACAGTAGACTCGCTCTAACCTGCTGTGGCATTTCAAATCAAATCATCTCTTTAAAAGTTTTTTTCTCCTCCAGCTTTTTCTATAATTTCCTGCAGTCTGGATGGTTTCCTCTGACCTCGCCTCATCAATATAATGGTACAGTAGAGGTATCTGTTACACTGAATGCTGCTCTTCCAATCTGAAGCTGCATCATGTGGTACCAACCACACACTGATGGTTCTACTTTCTGGTCCTGACTCACTTGCACTTATCTGACATCACGGCCTTATCAGAGTCAGCTTCTTTTCTAATCAAGCTACTTTATGGCCATTTGAAGTCCCCCTCACATCCATCTGCCCTTGCAGCAAACAGTGCTCTAATCTTCTTTAGGAAGCCCGTATCTCCTTTCTTCTACCCCCCAGGAAGGAAAGAGAATCCTGCCATGAAGCCGGTCAACTGCAGAAAGCTGCCCTCTGCAGAGAAACTAAATTGACTTCTCTCACCTTCTATTGAGTTAGTGGTCAGCTCAAGTTTCTCCCTCCTTCACTCTTCTTTCTTCTGCCCTTTTGTCAGACCCCCCCCCCCCCCCCACACACACACACACACACACACACACTTGGGGAAGTACCGGCTGTCTTGTTGGTGCTGCTGCATATTCTTTTGGTGTGTGATTCCACTGGACTGACATTACATAACTGTGTTTCCTGTCTTACTTTTGCTTGGTTCCTGCATCCATCCGAGTTTAGCTCCCCTACAGTAATGCTAAGCTGTGAACAGAGATCAATGCGTCCCCTACAGACATGGCAGCATCTTCATCACTGATCTACCTATCAACCAACCCTAGAGTTTAAGATCTACCCATTTCCAACTAGGGTCATAACTTCATTCTTAGACCAACAAATTCTTATTCCAGTTTATCCATGGTGTTCTAAGCCTCTCGTGATGAAGATAGACACCAAGTTCCTGAGCCTAGCCTATTGGAACTGGCGTAGCAGCGGGTTGCCATCAAGATAATAGATAAGAAATTTGGGTTTTCATGAGCTGTATGCCAAAATCATCGATATTAGAAACAATAAAAGGCTTGAACAATTTCAGTTGTGTGTAATGAATCTAATATATATGAAAGTCTAATGTTTATCAGTACATTACAGACAATAATGAACTTTATCACAATATGCACATTTTTTAGAAGGGCCTACACACACACACACACACACACACACACACACACACATATATATATATATATATATACATGTATTTATATATATATATATCTTTTTTTCTTTTTCCACATGGCACTGCTGTTGAGATGTGACCTGCCAGTGACAAGATGGCTGCCTCCATGTCTGCTTGCCCTGTTGCCGTGACGACGACAAGTAGTCCTGGCCTAAGACCTGCCGGTGGCCAGATCACACCGCGCCAGCACACCTGGACTTCATCAGCTCTGATAATCAGCTGCCTACAATGTCAGCTGCCACACTACTCATGGAGCCGCCAGGATAGAGGCAGACTCCATGTGAGCGTTAAAGCTCTTTGCTGTGGCTTTTTGTGAACTTTTGATGGAGAACTTAGATTTGTTGAGCCTTACTTTTTCCATTATAATCCCAGAATTTGCGTTGTGTTTCAGAATAGTTTATTTTTTTGAGTAATAGACCAGTCTGCCAGACCTTTGGTTTGGTTGCTTTGGGTTTCCCCCTGTAATTTAAATAGCGTAGCATTATTCTGGTCCTAACAGTCTTTTTTTCTTCCCCCCCCCAAACACGTAACTTCTCATTTAGGCCCATCTCCTGCTACAGGATTTAGAAATTTTTGAGGGGTACTGAAAACAATGGAGACCCTGTTTTGGTTCTATGGTGTGTGGTATGCAGCAATACAGCTAAAACTACCAACCAAACCAAACTTCCACTATCAAACAAGATACCTTGCAAAACCTCTTGAAATCAAAAGTGCCTTTGAGTTAACTACCATGGTGGAGAAGGGACGTGCAGTGTTCTGTCACCTCGTCACCTCAGACGGGGAAATGTGTAGCCAGTCTCAAGCTGAGTGATCAAGAGAGAGGAGGTCCCTGTAAGGAGTGTGATACAGCTAACGGTGCGGTCAAAAGACCGCTCTTCCTTGTCTCACTACCGCTGCAGACAGTTCTGACCTGGTTTAATGTTTCCAGACCCTCTGGGGGTCCCAAGCAATTACCTGGCCTGCCTGTCGGCATGTGGCATCAACAGGCAGCAAGGCCCTCTGTTCTCAGAATCAGACAAATATGTTCCAACATCAGAGCAATCCCAACATCCTTCTGAGCTGACCAGAGCACTCTGAACATACCACGCAATATCTGATAAATGACTTTTAGAGTAATTTGATTTTAGTAATCAGGCAGAATTCGCATGTGAATTTATGATTGATTTTAATCCCGTCTGACCTTTAAACATTTTCCCAACATTCTTCTGAGTCATCAGATCTATAGAAACCTAGATGTTCTTTTGATACAACCGTAGCCTGTGCAGCCGTGCACATTAAAGCACATTAAGGTCATGGACTCATCAACATAAACAACAGCCATTTTGAGTCAGACTTGTTACTTGGAGGTAAATGTTTGTGTGTTTGTGTTGTCCTTGGTAGACAACACCTTTAAACAAGTGTGGTGAAGACACAATAGAACTTCTGATGAAACTAGAGATCCAAACAGCTGATTCTCACGAGGTGCTAATGGTTAACAATACTAAATGCTGACACCGGCATTTGTAGAAAATAATGTCTATTTATGTACTTTTCAAGGGGCTTCCTACTTCTATTACAAGCCAGTTGAACGAATAATTTGCCATCGTAGCAAGTTTGTGAGCTAAAGTTAATTATTTGCTCTATCAAAGCAGAAATCTGGCGGATGTCCAGTAATCATAAATCCAATGAATTTATAGTGTCCCCTGAGTGTAGCATACGTGTGCATAAATACAAATTTTAGACATATTCCACAACAGTTGTTTCTCTAAAAATTTATTTAAATGAATAATTAACTTATATAATTTATGTAAAAAAATACATTAATCCAGCACTTTAGGTATTTTCTATTCATAGCTGTACCATATCAGGATTCTGAAATGTTTTGTGAGGTGAGACTGAGAGGAAGCCTCAGCAGTGGGACAGAGGACGCCTGTTTAGGTGTGTCAGCTGATGCTTTATTGCATCTTTGCTTTAAATCTTTGTATTTTAGGTTTTTAAGATAATAAATAATTTAGAGTAGTCCCCTTACACTTGTTTTCTGTTTCAAATTGTTTTTAAACGATAATTTCATTTATTTGGGGGAAAATTATCCAAACCAACCAGACTTTGTGAAAAGGTAACTGATCTCTGAACCAGTGGCGCCCCCAAGGGGTGGCCAGGACCACCCCTAGAAAATGCTGGCCACACCAGAGCAGACAAATGTTCTTTGATGAATCATATTAATGTTCGCACATTATTATTTAATCAGGCTCAAATGTAAAACCCAATAAAATATATAATTAAAGAATAAATAAATAATCCGATTTAAAAAAAGTATACATGCTCAACATTTTCAAAATGAAAGTTTAAATTTCTATAGTTTTTAAAGATGTTTTTGTGAAGAGTTGTGTTCTTTAAATTTGAGGTAAGTGCGCTGGATGCTTATTGTGTTTTTAATTTAAAATAATAAAGGAGCATGCAATGCATCACCACAGGCTACGTTCTTCCAGAGTTACCACACTGACCAATCTGGTGTGCCACCCCCAACATTTTCTCTTGGCCCATCTGGCCACCCCTATAAAATTTTTCTGGGGGTGCCGCTGCTATGGCCAGTTAGTTTAAGGGCAAAGGTCAGAAAAATTTCTTCAGGATTTTCTGCCAGAGAGCAGAAATCATGGTTCTATCAAGTCACCCAGGCCCTGAGGCAGCAACCCCAGACCATCATGCTACCACCACCATGTTTCACTGTGAATATGTTACCTTTTCCACACAGTCAGGTTAAATTACATCTCAGGTATTAAACTGCATTTATTTACTGATTGTATTTTTGATGATGCAATTTTGAAACATCTAAGTGCCACAAAGACAAAAAAAAAACAAGACGTTTTTAAGAGAAAGGATGCTTTTGACAGCTTTTATTTTGTTCGTTTATAATTGTGAAGTACTCACCATGACAGAGTACACCAGTGCAACGATGCTAACGGGCCAAACTGGGAAGAAGCAGGAGATGATGACCAGGATGAGGTAATCCCGGGGCCTCGGGGTCTCCTGGACCCCAGCATTCCCGGTGGAGGAGCGGCTCAGGCTGGCCTTGGACGGGGACAGGGGTGCTGTGGCGGCCAGCTGTCCCACAGAGCCCGACCTCAACGCCACGCTGTGGCCATTCTGGTCAGCCTCCAGGGTTTTGTCTCCATCCATGTTCCTGGTGAATGAAGTGGACATTTTCACGCCACTGGGCTCGGTGGTCACCGCCAGGAGTTTCTCCGTCTCCTGGAAGTCCGCAGGCGGCGCGCCTCCTCCACCCTCACTGCTCAGGTTGGACTTCAGGAAGTCGGTGTCCGTGTTTATGGCCATGTTTAATTATGATTCCAATAAATTCCGCAAAATCTAAATTAGTAAACAAATTCAAAGCTGATATTCATATCCGATAATCTTGGACCATGGAAGTTCATCAGACTAGTTTTTCCTCTGGGGTGAAATTTAAATGATCTGAAAAGTGGTATTTTTTATAAGCTCAGATGGGATTTATACCCCCCACCCCTCCAAAATAAAAGGAAAACAATCAGAAGAAAGCTCCGCGATTCATCCAGATGTCACTCATCCTCCTGCATCACTTTTCCTCTCCTTCCCTGGTATCCTTTGTTTGAGTCATTTCTAGAAGCTGAGATCAGAAAAAACAAGCCCACTCCTCTCTGACAGATTCACTTATCCCTCTCTCTTCTAGTCTCACCTATGTCCTTTGAGTGTTAGTTCATTGAAAAGTGGCTGCAGGATTTCTCTTTCCTTTTAAAAAGATGATGGCGATGCGTTTGTCCCTCAGCAGACCCCCCAACCAGTCATTTTCCTCTCCTCTCCCCTCACTGTCTCCACGCCGCAGAGCCACTCGTCTCAACTTGGGACCACTGTCAAGCTGCTTCACCAGGTCAGATCACTTCCGCTACAAAATAAAAGCCTCTGTCAAAAACTGAAACAGGAATTCATGAGAAGAAAAAACGTGCATCGCATCATTAGTGAGTGTAACATCAGTACTGCGTACGTAGAGCTGCTTAAACTGCAAACAATCACAAATGATTAGACTCAGAAATACCTCATCTAACTTCAAATTTTTGTGGCCAAGCACATTGAAAGCTTTGTGAACAAACATTTTCTTTTAGAAGTCTTAGTTTCTGCTTCAGGGAGGAGGTCTAGTACACTGCTCTTTTATAATCTTGATATCAGCTCTTAAAGTTGTTGTCTGTATTTATTTTTTATCTGATGACACTATCTTGCAGCTGACTTTCATTTCCATATTTAAGGCCAAAAGCAACAGCTCTTGTTCATTAACACGGTCCTCTAGCCAACAAAACGGAGCTAAAACACACAGTTTAACAATTATACTCATGTTATAGTGTGCATTCATATATTTGTAAAGACTTGTGTCCATGAAAAGATCACCAACTCTGCATCAACCGAGGTACGTCTTTAATGCTCGCGCACGCTTTGTGATTGACGTCTGTTCAGAAACGGCAGTCTAACGTAATTGGTTAGTGCTGACCAGCACTCAGTTCATATTGCATTGGGCTCCATAGGACAGAGGACGGCTTTAGCAAAAAAGAAAAACCCAAACCAAACCAAACCAAACAAAAAATACACATTTCTTACATTATATCAAAGTACATGATAAGACAATCACTTTTATGTATTTCTGAAAGATCATTCATAATTCCTGAAAGGGGAAAAGTCCAGATGGCAGCTTTCATTTTTATTTAATATAATTTTTACTGTAATGCTCAAACATTATCGACTATTTAACAATCAACATGATACAAAAACTGAGTTTTAGTGTCTTAGACAAATACTTAAAATTGTTTCTCATCCAGCAGCTGGTAGAAAAACCTCATAGCTCTCACTCATCTGCTTTGTCCTTTTGCAGATCAAACCACTCATATATTCTTTCTTGCTCAAAACCACATTTAGACCTCTACCATCAGATTCACAAACTTGTGTTTGTCAAAAAACATTAAGGATGCTTTGTGAGTTCATTAGAACGGTGCAAGTCTTAATGAATAAGAAAAAGCAAATTTCAAGCATAAATTAAATGCAGACAATTATGAAGATGCACCAATTTAATTCTGTATAAAAATCTAACTATATACATTTAAAATGATCTAGCCTTTCTTTGGCTTTTATTTTGAAAGTACCTTTGGCCTTGTTTCTTTTAGCTTGACTCTTGTTGGAGGAGGACCAAGCGGGGGCTCTGGACCCCCCTCTGCTCCTCCTCCTCCTGCCCCACATCTTCCTCCTCCCTCTCCTCTTTCTCCCAACATCAGCACCAGTGGTTTATGGAGGGAGGCCTGCAGCGGATTGTGCTGCTATGCAGTTTTTGCTGCACTCCAGTCTTATAGTCCAGTACAGCCCCACACCATAAATCACTCCCCTCCACATCTAATTTTCTAAGTAGCGCAGAAAAAAATACTTCAGCAGTGTAATTATGCAAAATAGGTTGTTGAATGAGGGAAGAAGTTTCCTTTTAGACCAACTGCATCTCTTTAGGAGGGTTTTTGTAACCACAGTGTGCATTAAGCATCAAATGTGTTTGTAAAGATCTTGCATGTTAAATGTGATCCCCTCTCCTCTGTTGTCTGTTGTTTATTATCATCATCATCACATTAGCACCCTCCTTATTGTCCACTGTGCTTCACTCCTCTAATCCGTGTGAGTGCGGAGGTAGATGCAGCAATAAAAGGGGATTCCCTGAGTGAAGTAGTGTTGTTGTGCAATTTCCCCCAAGAACTAAGATTCTCATATTTATTTAATTTAATACGTTATTTTCAGCATCAAATACAGACTGTGGGACACTTCATTACAATTTATCTGAACAAATGCCATTCCCATTATGAAGATGTGCGTACTGCAGGGTTCAGGCATAACTGTAGGTATATCGCCACCTTCAGGATAAAGTTTGCATTAGCACGTTTAATAAAAATATAATGAACTCAGCTGAGCCACGCTCATAATCGGATATATTCACTTTTAACCCTTTAGTGCATGGATCGTGCAGGTAGGACTAAAAAAAAATCATCTTTAGGCATAAAAACAAAAAATTTGATTTACATTTGACACAAAACGATAAAATATGCAAATTGTGCACCAGTTTATTGGATCAGACTGTGTTCTGTATTCCTACAAAACCTATGTAGATGTTAGGTGACAGAACGGGTGAAATTGTGAAAAAAAATCCTCATTAAACTCGTCAGTTGTCCATCGATGGTTTAAAACATTCCTTTATATGTGTTCTTGTCCTCTTGGTTCTTCTCTTCCATGCGCATGCTGAGAACCGCCAGTTCCTTCTTGACAGCCTTCTTCATTCCCGGGTCCAGGTCCAGCACTCTGCTGAAGTCCTGCCGAGCCTCTGCTTCATTCCACACTTCCTTATGGGCCTTCCCTCTCAGGTAGTACGCCTTTGCTACACCTGTAGGGCAAACACAGCTGTGAGAGCGGCTCCATCTGCCCAGAGAAACAAATATTAGTCTTAAAGTTGTAGTCAGTAACAAACCAGGGTGCTGGTTGATAATATCTGTCGTGTGCTCGATGACCTCGTAGTATTCTTCCATTCGGAGGAGACACTGACAGTAGTTAAGTGTTAAAGTGTTTGCCATCTTCTCCAGCTTCAGCCATGGGACGTCCCAAGCTTTTTCCTGAAGAGGACAACACAGCCGCTCAGAACTTGGGTCAGTTTGACAAAAAGACAAACAAAACGTCTACTCGGGACCGAGTTTTTACACTTAACAACCTTCGTCTGAACATTCTTGATGCAGATGAGGGCCTCTTTGTATTTCTGCGCTGCCTCCTGGTAGCGTCCCTGTTTAAAGAGTTTGTTTCCCTGACCGTGCAGCACAGGAACCACCTTCAGCCTCTCCTCGTCACTCAGAGCCCACGACTCCCTGTTGTACTCGCTAGGCTGCTGCACCTGGTGATCAGATGCATACAAATACTGTTTCCATCACTCATAAAAGTTCAAACCAAAGCGATCTATTTCATGTCATAAATACAAAGTTTACAAGCTGCAAAAGCCTTTGTTTTGTCATTTATTTCAGTCAAACGTCACCAAGAAGGTTTTTTTTTTGTAGACACACCATTAGAAGCTCCAACACAAAGAAGAGAGGCTTCGGTTCTTTCATCAGCTCATCCAGGTCTTCATAGCCCAGGCTGTGGTATGCAAACATGTTGGCCATGCCACATGTGTGCACCTGCCACTCCACAGGGTCTTTGCCCTCTGCTATGCGTCTCATACTCTTGGACACAAGCGGGTAAACACCTGTGTGCTGAAAGAGAGACAATCTGAACATTGTGAGACTTTCTGATCTGGGGGCGACGGTGGCACAGGAGTTAAGTGCTCGCCCCGTAATCGGAAGGTTGCTGGTTCGAGTCCCGCTCAGTCTGTCGCTGTCGTTGTGTCCTTGGGCAAGACACTTAACCCACGTTGCCTGCTGGTGGTGGTCGGAGGGACTGGTGGCGCCAGTGCTCGGCAGCCTCGCCTCTGTCAGTGCGCCCCAGGGCAGCTGTGGCTACATTGTAGCTCATCCCCACCAGTGTGTGAATGTGTGTGTGAATGGGTGAATGACTGATTGTGTTGTAAAGCGCCTTGGGGGGTTCTAGGACTCTAGAAGGCGCTATATCAAATACAGGCCATTTACCATTTACCATTTTCTAAATGTGGATAATATCACTGTTAAGGGCTTTTCATCCATAAAGCAAACAATGGTTTTATTTAACATGCCTAATGATCCAAACAGAGAACAAATAAACCCTAAGAAGGTGCTTAACAAATACAGGCCATTCACTATTCCATTATCAAAAATTTTAGCTTTAATTTGAATCTGAACCACTTACTCATTACTAAGGTGGGTGACACCCTGGACAGGTCTCCAGTCCATCACAGAAACATGGGGACAAACATCAACAAACGCACACAATTACATCTAGTGACAATTTAGAGTCTTCAATCAGCCTTTCACGTTTCTTCTCTAATGTCCATGGGAGGAAACCAGAGCATCAGGTGAAAACCCACACCTGCATGAAAACACACTAACTCCACGCAGAAATCAGCGACTTACAGTGGCACCATACAGCTTCTTCAGAGAAAGTCAACGTATAATACATACTGGCATTTATATTATAAAGACCCTTTTATATAATATAATATAATATAATATAATATAATATAATATAATATAATATAATATAATATAATATGATATAATATAATATAATATGATATAATATATGATATGATATAATATAATATAATATGATATGATATAATATAATATAATATAATATAATATAATATAATATGATATGATATAATATGATATGATATGATATGATATGATATAATATAATATAATATAATATAATATAATATAACATAATATAATATAATATAATATAATATAATATAATATAATATAATATGATATGATATAATATAATATAATATAATATAATATAATATAATATAAAAATATGATATGATATAATATAATATGATATGATATAATATAATATGATATAATATAATATAATATGATATAATATAATATAAAATGATATAATATAATATGATATAATATAATATGATATAATATAATATAATATGATATAATATAATATCCTCCTTGAACCGTCACCTTATCGTGGTGGAGGAGTTTGAGTGCCCTAATGATCCTAGGAGCTATGTTGTCTGGGGCACTTAGTGCCCCTGGTAGGGTCTCCCATGACAAATTGGTCTTAGGTGAAGGGTGAGACAAAGAACGGTTCGAAGGATCTTTCATGGCAGTTAAAACGAAGAGTCGGAGTACCCGGCCCGGAGGGTTACCGGGGTCCCACCCTGGAGCCAGGCCTGGGGTTGGGGCCCGTGAGCGAGCGCCTGGTGGCCGGGCTTTCGCCCATGGGGCCCGGCCGGGCCCAGCCCGAACCGGATACATGGGCTCGTCCAACTGTGGACCCACCACCCGCAGGAGGAACATGAAGGGTCCGGTGCAATGCGAATCGGGTGGCAGACCAAGGCGGGAGCCTTGGCGGTCCAATCCCCGGACAAGAAAACTAGTTTTTGGGACATGGAACGTCACCTCGCTGGCGGGGAAGGAGCCGGAGCTTGTGGCAGAGGTTGAGCGGTACCGGCTAGATATAGTCGGACTCACTTCTACACATTGCATTGGCTCTGGAACCCGAGACCTGGAGAGGGGTTGGACACTCTACTTTGCTGGAGTTGCTCCGGGTGAGAGGCGGAGGGCTGGGGTTGGCTTTTTGTTAGCCCCGAGACTCTCTGCCTGTGTGTTGGGGTTTACCCCGGGGGACAAGAGGGTAGCTTCCTTGCGCCTTCGGGTCGGGGAATGGGTCCTAACTGTTGTTTGTGCTTATGGGCCAAATATCAGTTCAGAGTACCCACCCTTTTTGGAGTCCCTGGGACGAGTGCTAGATAGTGCTCCATCAGGGGACTCCATTGTCCTGCTGGGGGACTTCAATGCTCACGTGGGCAATGACAGCTTGACCTGGAGGGGTGTGATTGGGAGGAACGGCCCACCTAATCAGAACTCGAGCGGTGTTTTGTTATTGGACTTCTGTGCAAGCCGCAGTTTGGCCATAACGAACACCATGTTCGAACATAAGGATGCCCACCGGTACACTTGGTACCAGGGCAGCCTAGGTCACAGGTCGATGATAGATTTTGTAGTCGTATCATCTGACCTGCGGCCGTATGTTTTGGACACCCGAGTGAAGAGAGGGGCGGAGCTGTCAACTGATCACGACCTGGTGGTGAGTTGGATCAGATGGCAAGGGAACATGCCGCGTAGACCTGGCAGACCCAAACGCATAGTGAGGGTCTGCTGGGAATGCCTGGCAGAAGAACCTGTCAAGACGGTCTTCAACTCCCACCTCCGGCAGAGCTTTGACCACGTCCCGAGAGCAGTGGGGGACATTGAGTCCGAGTGGGCCTTGTTCCACTCTGCGATTGTCGAGGCGGCTGTTGCTAGCTGTGGTCGTAAGGTGGCCGGTGCCAGTCGTGGTGGCAACCCCCGTACCCGCTGGTGGACACCAGAGGTTCGGGGAGCCGTCAGGCTGAAGAAGGAGGCCTACAGGGCGTGGCTGGTCTGTGGGTCTCCGGAGGCAGCAGACAGGTACCGGATAGCCAAGCGGGGTGCAGCAGTGGCAGTTGCCGAGGCAAAATCTCGGGCGTGGGAGGAGTTTGGTGAGGCCATGGAGAAAGACTATCGATCGGCTCCAAAGAGGTTCTGGCAAACTGTCCGGCGCCTCAGGAGAGGAAGGCAGCAACTCGCTCACACTGTTTCCAGTGGGGATGGGGAGCTGCTGACGTCAACTGAGGCTATAGTCGGACGGTGGAAGGAATACTTTGAGGAGCTCCTCAATCCCACCAATGCGCATTCCGAGGAGGAACCAGAGCTGGGAGGCCTGGGGATGGACTGTCCGATCTCGGGGGCAGAAGTTGCTGAGGTAGTCAAACAACTACACAGCGGCGGAGCCCCGGGGGCGGATGAGGTTCGTCCTGGGTATCTCAAGGCTATGGATGTTGTAGGGCTGTCATGGTTGACACGTCTCTACAACATTGCGTGGTCATCGGGGGCAGTTCCTAGGGAGTGGCAGACCGGGGTGGTGGTCCCCATCTTTAAGAAGGGTGACCTGAGGGTGTGTTCCAACTATAGGGGGATCACACTCCTCAGCCTCCCTGGAAAGGTCTACTCCAAGGTACTGGAGAGGAGGGTCCGATCGATAGTTGAATCTCAGATAGAGGAGGAGCATTGTGGTTTTCGTCCTGGCCGTGGAACTGTGGACCAGCTCTATACCCTTGCAAGGGTGATGGAGGGGGCATGGGAGTTTGCCCAACCAATCCACATGTGCTTTGTGGATTTGGAGAAGGCTTATGACCGTGTCCCTAGGGGCACCCTGTGGGGGACGCTCCAGGAGTATGGGGTGGGTGGCTTTCTGTTAAGGGCCATTCAGTCCCTTTACCAGAGGAGCGTGAGTTTGGTCCGCATAGCCGGTAGTTAGTCGGACCTGTTCCCAGTGAGGGTTGGACTCCGCCAGGGCTGCCCTTTGTCACCGGTTCTGTTCATCACTTTTATGGACAGAATTTCTAGACGCAGCCGTGGTGTGGAGTGTGTCGAGTTTGGTGGCAGGAGAATCTCGTCTCTGCTTTTTGCGGATGATGTGGTCCTCCTAGCTTCATCCAGCTCTGACCTTCAGCTCTTGCTGGGTAGGTTCGCGGCCGAATGTGAAGCGGCTGGGATGAGGATCAGCACCTCCAAATCTGAGACCATGGTTCTCGACCGGAAAAGGGTGGCTTGCCACCTCCGGGTCGGGGGAGAGGTCCTACCTCAAGTGGAGGAGTTTAAGTATCTCGGGGTCTTGTTCATGAGTGAGGGTAGGAGGGATCGGGAGATCGACAGGCGGATTGGTTCGGCGTCTGCAGTGATGCGGACGCTGAGCCGATCTGTCGTGGGGAAGAGGGAGCTGAGCCAAAAAGCCAGGCTCTCGATTGACCGGTCGATCTACGTCCCAATCCTCACCTATGGTCATGAGCTTTGGGTAATGACCGAAAGAACGAGATCGCGGATACAAGCGGCCAAAATGAGTTTCCTCCGTAGGGTGGCCGGGCTCAGCCTTAGAGATAGGGTGAGGAGCTCGGACATTCGGGAGGGACTCGGAGTAGAACCGCTGCTCCTCCGGATCGAAAGGAGCCAGTTGAGGTGGTTTGGGCATCTGGTCAGGATGCCTCCTGGACGCCTCCCCGGGGAGGTGTTTCGGGCATGTCCTGCCGGCAGAAGGCCCCCGGGTCGACCCAGGACACGTTGGAGAGGTTACATCTCCAATCTGGTCCGGGAACGCCTTGGGGTCCTGCCGGAGGAGCTGGTGGACAAGGCCGGGGAGAGGACGGCCTGGAGCTCCCTAGTTGGGATGCTGCCCCCGCGACCCGGACCCGGATAAGCGGAGGAAGACGAAGACGAAGATAATATAATATAATATAATATAATATAATATAATATAATATAATATAATATAAAAATATGATATGATATAATATAATCTCGTCTCGTCTCGTCTCGTATAATATAATATAATATAATATAATAATATAATATAATATAATATAATATAATATAATATAATATAATATAATATGATATAATATAATATAATATAATATGATATAATATAATATGATATGATATAATATAATATGATATAATATAATATGATATGATATGATATAATATAATATAATATGATATAATATAATATAATATAATATAATATAATATGATATAATATGATATAATATAATATAATATGATATAATATAATATAATATAATATAATATAATATAATATAATAATATAATATAATATAATATAATATAATATAATATAATATAATATAATATGATATGATATAATATAATATAATATAATATGATATAATATAATATAATATGATATGATATAATATAATATAATATAATATAATATAATAGTAGCTGCTTTATTATATTATATCATATTATATTATCGTCATTGTCATCTTCCTCCGCTTATCCGGGTCTGGGTCGCGGGGGCAGCATCCCAACTAGGGAGCTCTAGACCGTCCTCTCCCCGGCCACCTCCACCAGCTCCTCCGGCAGGACCCCAAGGTGTTCCTGGACCAGATTGGAGATGTAACCTCTCCATCGTGTCCTGGGTCGACCCGGGGGCCTCCTGCCGGCAGGACATGCCCGAAACACCTCCCCAGGGAGGCGTCCAGGAGGCATCCTGACCAGATGCCCAAACCACCTCAAATGACTCCTTTCGATCCGGAGGAGCAGTTCTACTCTGAGTCCCTCCCGAATGTCCAAGCTCATAACCCTATCTCTAAGGCTGAGCCTGGCCACCCTACGGAGGAAACTCATTTCGGCCGCTTGTATCCGCAATCTCGTTCTTTCAGTCATTACCCATAGCTCATGACCATAGGTGAGGATTGGGACGTAGATCGACCGGTAAATCGAGAGCCTGGCTTTCTGGCTCAGCTCCCTCTTCACCACGACAGATCGGCTCAGCGTCCGCATCACTGCAGACGCCGAACCAATCCACCTGTGGACCTCCCGATCCCTCCTACCGTCACTCGTGAACAAGACCCTGAGATACTTAAACTCCTCCACTTGAGGTAGGACCTCTCCCCCGACCCGGAGTTGGCAAGCCACCCTTTTCCGGTCGAGAACCATGGTCTCAGATTTGGAGGTGCTGATCCTCATATATTATATTATATTATATTATATTATATTATATTATATTATATTATATTATATTATATTATATTATATTATATTATATTATATTATATTATATTATATTATTATATTATATTATATTATATTATATTATATCATAATATAATATAATATAATATAATATAATATAATATAATATAATATAATATAATATAATATAATATAATATAATATGATATAATATAATATAATATAATAGTGGCTGCTTTAACCTAAATCTTTTATTTTCTTATTTTTAACTCAAATGTATGATACTCTTTCATTAGTTTCATGGTATTTTATAATTTTATGACTTTGTTGTTCTGATTTGAATTTATTTCTGTTTTAAGCTCATTATGATTTTATGATTTAATGCTTTGTTTTGACCTATGTGAAGCATTTTGTGATTTTCTGTCTGTGATGACTGCTATACAAATAAAATGTTACTTATATTGTAAGTTAAAGAATAAACATGACATTTGAGCCAAATATTCTAAATTAAATGTCAGATTATAAATAGTTGCATCTTTTTATTGTTAATTTGTACTTTGATTTCATGACATCTGATGAAATTGATGATTTTCTTGCAATAAAAAGTAATTTTTCAGTGATTCAAGACAGTCACATTTAGTGGCTGAAACCCATCCACTCTACATAGATTCCTCCACCTTTAAGCTCATTTACACCCAGTGGTGTTGTGCAAGGACTAAAATATGCACTTTTCCTGCAGAAAGCATCCATTGATCGGTTAGTAAAAGTAGTCCTCTACTGGATGGGCTGTGAAGCTGCACAAAACATCCAGTAGAGAAGTCACTGATGTGTTTTTCAGAGTTTAGAGAGATGCTCTGAGCCACATCTAATCTAATCACAGCAGAGGGAGGCAGTACTGCTGATTCAGCAGGATTCTGAGCCGATTAGTGGAGAGAGTGAGAGAGGCCGCTGTGGATGAATGAACCCATCCGTCTCTGACACACACACACACACACACACACACACACACACACACACACACACACACACACACACACACACACACACACACACACACACACACACACACACACACACACACACACACACACACACACACGTGCACGCACCTGCACACCAACCAAATTACAGGCTACGTGTCGATACAAACAGCTGGAAAACGATGACTTCAATATAATCTTAAACCAGCAAACTTCTACATTTGTTCCTGATGATCTGTTAGAAGCTCATAAATATTTAAAACCTGTAACATAATTTACTAAAATTACTTACAGAACAAAAAAAATTGTGGGTTAGATGTTTGACTAAATGCATAAAATGAAACTTTTCTGCTTTTCTTTTTTGTCACGTCATCCGTAAAAAGTCATCCAGGCTAAAAGAATCAAATAGATGTTGGGTAATACATAAACCAGTTTTCACATCTTTCTTTCCCTTCCACTCACGATGGTATCACACCAGAACTCTGCCACTTCCCCGACCCTCATGGAGGACAACAAGGCCTCCCAGATGTCCAGTTTGAACATGTTGCCGATCACTATCTCCATGGGTGTCCCCACCACTCTGCTGTCGTCTATCACTGTGCGTTCATCATCACACAGCTGTGTGCGGAAGTGGAATGTCACCTAGAAGAACGGAAAAAATAAAAAAATAAAACATGGACTAATTTTACTGTTGGACAAAGTGGGGAAGGATTGAAAGAAGTTGATCAGCTTTAAAGAATGACATTTAAGGTGGCATCAAAAGATTTTAAAAAACATCAAGGAAGACAAATTAAAAAACCTGTCACACAATCAATTTTATATGGAAGAGCATTCCCACCACTAAGATAAAAAATAGTCTCATAATTATGAGCTACCATCTCACCATAATGAGATAGTAGCTCATAATTATGAAATAGTTATATAATAATTACGACTTTACTAATAATTATGAGATAGCTATGATAGTGAGATAATATCTCATAATTATCGCTCAGCTATCTTATAATAAAGAGACAGTATGTAATAATAATGAGATACTATCTCATTATTATTACATAGCTATCTTATTATGACTTAGCTATCTTATAGGTATGAGATAAGTCATAATTATGATGCCACCTTAACTGTCTTAGTATCTCATTATTATTACTCAGCTTTCTTATAATAAAGAGACAGTATCTCGTAATTACGAGATAGTAATAATAATGAGATACTATCTCATTATTATTACATAGCTATCTTATTATGACTTAGCTATCTCATAATTATGAGATAATTTTCTTTTATCTGGGTGGTGGGAATGAGCTTCCATGTAAAAGTAAAGTAAAAATATAAACATGAAGCAGTTTATAGATTTTTAAATGACAGAATAATAAACAAGCTAGAAATTTTGCTAATTAAAAACATTTAAACATTGTTTCTTATGCAGTAGTCTCAAATACTCGAAAGGATCTGAAAATGCTTAAACTCTCATTAAGTACTCTGTCGGCCTCTGCTGGTCACTACTCACAACTGCAACAAGCCTGGGTGACATTTTCTGAAACATCTTTAGAGTTTCAGCGTTAGAAATGCTGACTAAACACCCTGGAGCCTGGAGGAGGTTCAATCTAAACCTTCAACAATAAAACAGAACTCATGAATTTAATGTAAAAACTGTTGATCTGATCCCAAATCTTAGAAAAATTCTGATGTATTTTGAGATTATTATTTGGTATCAATTTGTGTATTTGAATGTTTCCTGATGGAACATTTTCTGTGTGATGATAAGATGTGTTTATCTAAAAATAGATGATCAAATCTCCTGGGATAAAAAGGAACTGATTTTGTTTTATTTACCCCACCCCAAGAATAATTGTTGCTTTTGTATGTCCACAGACATTCTCCTCATGATGCATGCATAGATGTTAGCCATAACTGTTTATGTAAAATTACATTTAGAGTTCAATCCCGTACAAATGTTCCAGATTGATTATAAAGATTCAAAGGCCAGCAGTACCTTTGCCCCAGTGGTAAATTTGGGGATGTCGCCAGTTCCTCCATGAAGAATAGTTTTCTTAATTCCTTCTGATCCAATCAGCATCGTTTCCTTCAAGTCAGACATGTCTTTCTGAATTTCTAAACCCAGCCACCTTAGATTAAATGCCTATTATGTGGAGTAAAACACATAATGTAAAAGTGTGCAGATGACCAGGAGGTGTGGACTGAGGTGGATTAGATTAGGTTGAGATAATGAGATTATAATCTTCTCCTCCTCTCCTTTTGTTCTGTTGTCCATCTGTCGTTCCTTGTCTTGGTCACAGCTTCGTCACATTAACCCTCTCAGGCTCAAAATAAGTTTTGATAAAAGGACGAACGACTAAGTCCTTCAGGGGTACTTCTGAGTTAAAAAATGCTCGTGAAATACGTGTGTGGAGTAACCAGGTAGGTAGGTTTTAACGTTGCTAATCTGCAACGCCTGCCTTCAGAGGGTTAACATCTGCAAAATCTCTGAACATCCATGAAAGCTTCAGAAAACTGGAGGCAAATAAACACACTTTTTCTCAGGTTTTCTGCTAATTTGTTGTGAAAAGATTTGAGTTTAATCTTGTGTGTAGATTCAAAGTGTGTTACCACGAGGAGTGCAGCATCGAGTGTGTATTTGTGTGTGTGTGTGTGTGTGTGCAGATTTTTCAGTTTGTAGGACGTGGTTTCCATTCCAGAGGAAATTTCCTGGATTTAAGTGGATGTGAACAATGCAGAGAAAACTGGGAGACAGTTATTATATGGACTTCTTGACCTCATCTGTTAAACATCTGTCTCCCATCTGGGCTGCATGTGTGTGTGTGTGTGTGTGTGTGTGTAATCCAAAACTCTGTTTGCATGCAGCTTTAGGGGGCAATTATTCTTGAACACTAGCCAGTGTAAGTACCGTATTTCTAACTAATTGCACAAAGAGAACACCACATAACTACACCTTGGCTGTGTTCTCAGTTGTGTAACTTCATATTTTTGTTTTCTCTGCATATCAACACAGCAGAGTTTGTGTTTCACCTTGAATTGTCGAGCAAGGCTACTTTGGACATCTAGAACATCATCATTTTACAAAAAAGCAACATATCAGCCTGTTGGACCCCTTTTCTCCCCACATGATGTAAAACAGCATTGGTAACATGAAGTTAAATCGTTTTTGTCACTCATGGAGAAGACTGGTACTGCAATAGAACCTAATTCTACATTTAAACTGTGCTAAACATAATTGATTATCAGATCACTGCTGTGCATGCACGTAGGAGAAGGGTATCTATCCTCTAACTTTATTTTTAAAAGTGAGAAATACTGGTGATGCAACATGTGGCAGACTTTTTGGATGACATGTTTGTGTTGCTATGGCTACAGCCTTTTACTTCATCATAAGTCTGAAGAACTTTGGAAAATTACTTAATTATTTGTATGTTTGGAGATAAAACTTACAAGAGGATAGTTTTGATGAAGATTGGTGACTTTCTGTTATCTCCATCTTGTGAGGGGGTGGGGGGCAGCAATCCATCTGACCTGTCAGAGGGGTTACACAGCTACGTTGGTGTGTGCTGGATCTCTTTTGTGTGTGAATGAGTCACATCTCTTGCGTCACACCGCCTACACGTTCCCCTCTCCATATACAAGTCAAAGTGCCTTTGTGTTTGTGTTAGTGACGCCTGTAAGCTTATATCATTACCTGTTGCACTGTGGAGAATCAAACGAGACGCTTTGCCAAAACTCATCCACATGTTTGTAGTAGGAGGTTCAGCTAACACAGAAGCTGGTGTCCACCGCGGATGCCTACCATGGCTGATGTGGAGGTTCCACTTCAAGTGAATGAGATTCTATTTCTGGAGCCAACAGTCACAGGGTTCCTGGGGAGGAGCCACTCAAAATGTTAAAGCCATTCATTCGTATACATCACATGCAGAGGTTGGCTTCTTCCATGACGCACAGCTTACACGCACACAGCTTGATGTTTATGGAAGTGTAAACCTTTTGTAGTTGTGTGTTGGAACAGAGCACAGGGAGGGCCAAGATGGGAGAGGGAGAAATAGTTCAGCAGGTAGAGCTAATCCAAGATAGATAAACCACTAGGAGGTCAGAATAGAAAAAAAAAGGTTTTCTTAGCATTTTTTAATGAAATGCCACCAAAAATAATTAGTGAAAAACACAAAAAACCCAACCCTAAAAAGGCAAAGTTAACTGAGAAACCATTTTTTCTCCAGTGTCTTGTCTGGCTGTAAAGCAATCACAATTGATGTCTGAGTGCCAACGACAAGCCTTACAGTTTTACTCTGACAGGTGGAGCAGTTTAGCTTCAGCTATAATGACTCGCCTGATACCAAAACTTTATTAGAAGCCCAACGGACACGGAGACAGAAATGAAAGAGAAAGGAGGGAGATGAAAGGAAGGGGTGTGTGTGTGTGTGTGTGTGTGTGTGTGTGTGTGTGTGTGTGTGTGTGTGTGTGGGAGGGAGGGGAAGTCACAAAAATAAACAATAAACAACGTAGAAAAATATCCTTCTAGACCTGCAAAAAAAGAAAGAAAGAAAAAAGGACACACATAAATGCAACAGAACCAAAATATCATTGCGCCAACTGCATGAGGATATCTGTACAGTAACAATTTTGACTGAAAAGCACACGGTAATAATTTATGGTGCATTAAGTGTCAACCGCAGCCATAGGTTATGTGTTGCACAAGTCCATAATTGTGAGACCACCATGTGAGCACATGTGTGTGTGTGCACAGGGTGGGTTGGGGGGGTGGGGCAACCAGCAGGTGTGCCACTGGCCTAGGAGATAAAAACAACAAGCCCCCAGGCCCGCCCGCAGCCGCCCACTCCATGGCAGGCCAAGCTTGGACCCTGGGTGCCCAACCCCAGTGGAGACCGGACAGAGCCCAGGGATCCGGACCCCAACAGGCAGCCACTGGGAGTGAGCAGGCAGATGCCAAAAACTTCCAGCCCCAGACACAAGAGCTGAGAATATGAAGGCAAACTGAGGCACCACTCACCAGCAGTAAATGTAACAGGAGGATGGTAGGCAAGGATAGTGGCACCACAAGATGTCCCAGGAGAGGGGAGGAGTCCAAGACCCCACCTGACAAACACAGTCACACACTCCCATCCTCATGCTCACAGATAAACACTGACTAGTGTCAGTGACTTTACAGCAATCCTCATAGTAAGCAAGCATTTAGCGACAGTGGAAAGGAAAACTCCCTTTTAACAGGAAGAAACCTCCAGAGGATCCTGGCTCAGTATAAGCAGCCATCCTCTAGCCTGGCAAGCCAGACTAAATAAATGTATTATTTAGTCTGGCCACGCTCCATTGACGGCTCTCGGTTGTGGGGCGGGTTCTACCTTTGTCTTTCAAATGATCTCCGCATTCCACTGGACAATCAATGTGACATACTCTGTTGCATCATCCCACCCACCAGGCATATAGAGTGCCCTGATTGGTCCACAAAGCAGGTAAAGCTCTGTGATTTGTTCACTAAGCAGATAGAGCACTATGATTGGCCCACCATTATGGACCAATCGCAGCTCCTTATGTGTTTGAAACCCCTCTAGAGAGCTGTGATTGGCTAGCCAGAGTCCTGGTAGGAGCAGCGGAGGTTCCAATGGAGCATGCCTAGACCAAACTTTGCAAAGCAAGAATTTAGTCTAGTTCACTAGGCTAGCCATCCGCCACAACTCACTGGGAATCGAGAAGACAGAGCAGACACACACACACACACACACACACACACACACACACACACACACACACACACACACACACACACACACACACACACACACACACACACACACACACACACACACACACACACAACATATGTACCAAGTAGTATATACCCATCTTGGCTGACGACGGGGAAGGCTGTTGTTGAATTAGCATCCATGAAACTGCAAAGTGCATCTCAGCAAGTAGAAGCTAACCGTTAGCATTAGCAACTCCACAATACGGCAGAACTCCTTCATGTGTCTTGTGAAGATAAAACATCATTGTCGCAGAACAAATGAAGTCAGTAGTAGTCACATTGCTGTTAGCCAATCAGAGGTGAGATGTTCAAATATCAGGAAATAACACCCCAAAACCTGTCGAAGCGAAGGTTAGACTGTCTGAATTCAGAGCCGCTGACTTCCTGTCTTAGCAGTTGAGCAAGGACCTGACCTAGCTGTAACGGCGAGCACATCTGCTCACGACCATCCTACCCCGTGATCTGCTCCAGCTAAATTCTACTTCCTGAAACAGGAGCGCCAGAGCTCCCCCCCCCCCTCCAACTCCGTGAGACCGACCCACAGGGAGACCACTTCAAATATGTCGAAAAATATTCAACAACATTGTTGTTCATTTAACGACTGAACAAATGGATCAGAGGCTCAGTTAACCTGAATGTGCCAAACCTCAAAGTTTGGTCAAACAGAACTTTGCTTGTAAATTTGACCCATAACAAAAAAAATATATACGTATCGTCTTAATATGTGGTAATACTATTGACATCATTACAATTGGAGATATTTTATAATTCATTTAGAAAGGACCAATTTATGACAAACACCCTATCATGATTTAATAGAAAACAAACAAAAATACATTATTACACACTTTGAAGTAAGAACTGCTGAAAAAGTTTTGCTTTCAGTTAATTCAAAACATCCAACAGCGACTAAATATTTTCTCCTTTGCTAATAAACATGATGCAGATTGAGGTCATGGCAGCACATCACAGCGTATTTATCATCCCTACCTTTGCGTACAGAGGTGGATGTTTCTGAAGCTGACAGATGATGTGACGGTGGATGATGTGGTGAATTACACTCCTCTGACGCTCCTCTCTCCTCTTTGCTCAGCAACTCTGGATCAGATGGGTGCTGAATGTAAAGGCAACCTAAGTTTGCAAAGTCCTCACACACATTATAGAAGGAAGTGTTGTAGCCAGGAGACTGAAAATGTTCTGAAATAGAAAACAACCAAGCTTTTACATGTCTCTTGTTTAATCTGAAGAAAACATGTTAATAAAATACATGTAAATCTGCTTAACTGGCTTTAGTTTTCACCTGTAACTGGTTCATGAAGCGCAGGTCAAAAACTCACTCTGTTGGGGAACTTACATTGAATGTTTGCTTAAAAATACAGTGAAAAAAAGCTACAATTATCCTTTAGTCTCTGTTTTGCGTGCACGAACAATCCATTGTTAGCCTGATATGGTCCTCTAATGGTCACTCAGAGGTCATTTCAGTAAATGTTGTCTCCTCAGAAGCAAATTCAAGAAAATAAAAATTCAAGAGTAGCTCAAGTGCTGTGATGAATAGAACATAATATAATAGAATAGGCTTTATTGATCCCACAGTGGGGAAGTTCACTTGTTACAGCAGCACCAACACTTAAGAGAATAATTTGAAGAAAAAATAATAACAAAGGTACATGTATACACACATGGCATTAATGGCAGTTTATAAATCTGTCATTAATCTGTCATGAGCATACATAGGCCCTAATGAGATATTTAGTCTTTGTTTTCCTTTTTGGGAAAAAGTGATTTTTGGGAAATGCCAAAAGGCTGAGGTACAAAATTAACAGAAACAAAAAAGAACGAAACACCTCAAAGTTGGGTATTTTTTTGGCATATGAGGTAGATCGATGTGCGTAAGCGCCTCGCTACATCGGAGCAGATTTACAGAACAGCAGGAAAAGGGCTCCTCCTTTTGCACAGTTACATTTATAAGGGTTCTTTGATAAAGCGTCTGCTTAAGTCCAAATGTTGTGCAGTCGAAGGATGTTTAACAGTTTATTTATTGAAACTTATCTAATAAAAAAAAAAACTCTTAATCCACCAGATCTGGAATTCAGAAGAGTTCCCATCTGAGGCTTTAAGGTTTTGTTTAGTGGTCAAACATGACTCATCATCAACATCAAATCCAGAAATAAGAAATGTTTTCTTGTGTGTGAAAGAACTCAGATTAGAGAAAAAAACACTGTGCCCATTTTTATTTTCAAGCATTTAAATAAGTGTGGAATTTGAGGTGAGATTCCTAAAACTATCCCAATAACATTATGGAATTGTTCTTGTTTTTCATGTTTCAACTTCACTATCATCAGATTATAAAGTGTTTCAAGTTGTGTCAAAACCACGCCTCTTCTCCCATCTCATGAAGGTATTCTTAATTTTTGCTGTCATGTCTCTCAAAAGGTTCCTCTGAGTTTAAAAAGCTTCAATTTTATTCAGTGAGTGGAAAAAGATAAAAACAAGAAGCCAACAAACATAAAATAATCCAAAATGACATATCAAATGCCCAATCTGGATCATGTGGGGAAACCTCTAGTCTCTGCTCCACCTGACAGTGCTGTTTATGGAGAGAGGCCAGAGGTCGGATGTGACACATTGATCCTGCATTATCTCCACCAACCAACAGGAGGACTTTTAGAAAAGGTGTGTGTGTGTGTGTGAGAGTCGCAGTGTGTGTGTGCATTGTGTGCTTTAGCTGTTCCAACTTGCAGGATTCTCAGGAACAGCCCTGGCTGGAGTTTGCTGAAGTCATGCAGCGGCTGACAACAGTCGAGAGGTTTCTGGAACGACACATTAGCTCAGATTCCTTACCGGTCGCTGCGTTTCGATTACACTCATGATTTACTTATGGCAGTGTCTGCGGAGCGACCTAAATATTCACCAGCTAACTTTTTCCTGCACTACACTCAGACTTTGCACAAAGATGTTTTTTTTGTTGTGATATTTATGTCCTAATCTCTCGTTTAAAGCTGCTGGACTTTGGATCTGCAGTTCTTCCTAGCCTTAGCTCTCCCTGACTGGGCCCCTGCTCGTTGCCTGGCCTCGACCTTTAGTTACATACCAGTACACATAGCAGCAAGCACAAAGGGCAACGTGCACATGACAGATAAGCTCCAGACTCCCCAGTTTCTTATGTCTTCATATAAATACAAAGATATGGCACAATTTGTGACTTGCAACAAGAAACATGCAGGAAGGAACACCTAACAGAGGTCAAATAACACTACATACATATTAGTAAAGTTAAGTAAAAGACGTTAGTGCCAATAAAAAAAGCCTAATTGTGTTTGGAACTAATTTTGTTGAAGAAAATTTCTGAGGATTTAGGAAAAAACTGAAAATTTGTTAATAAAAGTTAAATTAATTAATAAATATCCAAAGACACTTTTTATATTATCATATGCCCAAATAGTTTGTCTTATTATTATTACTGATTCATGCTACTATTAATATAATTAGTGCCAGAAAATTACTGACAAAGTGCCACAAGGCAAAGTAGAAAATACATTTCTTGATGAAAGAAAATTTGAGAAACAACTAAAAGTTCTAATTAAAATCTAAAGCATATCAAACCACAGTTTGAGAATCAGCAGAGCTCTATCCCACAGACTTAAATCTCACCTTAAAGACTGAGAGCAACAGCTGCTCTGCAGATCTCTGAGTCCAAAATTCATCACAATGTTTATGAAAGTTCAAATCTGATTTATATAATGAAACAGGATTTCTGGTCACATGGCTGCACAGGAGGCCTTCATGGGTCATTGGGTCCAGTTTATTCATGCATGTCGTCAAAAATGATAAAGAAAAATGTGAAGAAGATAAAATCACTCATTAGTCAGCCACCAGGTTGCCTAGCAATAAAATAATCGCTTGGTCAGCTTGCTTCTCACACCAAACCCTCAGTCAGGAATCTTGCTGTGACCTTTGATTACCCTGTTCTTATACATTGTATTCTTCCTTCAATTTTTATTAATCTAAAATGTTTCTTTTTTAAATGTTTTTATTACAATATTTTGTAAATATCTTTTTTATTTATATTTGTTGTTCTTGTGAAGCACCTCAGGATTTTATTCTTGAGAGGTGCTTTATAAAAAATGGTTTCTCCTTCTTTTAATAATAACAACAATAATAATAATAATAATTTATAATAATAATAATAATAATAATAATAATAATAATAATATATAAGTATTTTTTAAATATTATCTGGATAAATCTGCTTAAAACTGAACAAAATGTTAATTTAGGACAGACAAAAGAAAGCTTATGCAACTGCACTTATGACAAAGTCTTTAATTCAAATGATCAAACCATCTCTCCAGGAGAAGAGCTCATATTGGAGCACTTATTCCCATGTGTGTGATGTCTCGAGTCTAAACGAATTAAAAGTTATATGAATCTGGTTGTGGCTCAGCAGCATTTCTTCAGTTATATGGTTTCACATTTTGCCTGCTTGTCTGTACAAGCTGCATTCAGTCAGGAAGAATCGTGTATTTCTGTGGTGTCCAATAACTAGGTTGCTCACCTTGCACTTCCTCCTGAGCTCAATTTACATGCCCAGGCTTTTCCAAAAATTTCACATAGAAACAACAACAACAAACCAAATATAACTTCCAGAGCTGAGGCATCATATAGAAATTCTGGTTCCCCACTGGTTGATATCTGGTCTTCCAGAGTCAGTTCTCTCTTGTCAGAGATATCATCTAACTGAGCAGCTCTCTGTAGTGGATCTTAGTGAATGGGCACATAATACCAGTTATAATAGAGGCCAAACCCTACAGAAGAACACTAATGTCACAATACTAACAATCATTTTTAAAGCTTGATTTAAAAGAAAAATGTAATCTCTTTAGCATCCTAATGGTATCCTTTAGCGGGAAAATGGGACAATTTAAAGATTTTATCGGTGTAACTTGATGCAGGATAATATTCCGCTTCCTGTTGGTAACAAAGCAGTGGTGTTTTAAAAACATCCCATAGCCTAAATGACAAAAATAAAATAAAATACGTGAAAATAATTGCTGACTGAGTTTCTGTTGCTTGTTTTCTAAAATAAATAAATAAATTAATTAATTTAAAAAAATCCATGATGTGGGGTGACCATATTTGGATTTACAAAGATAAATGACAATTGGTCTTCTCAGGGGCCTGCACCTGCTGATGACATTATTTTACAGCAACACCATGCCATGTTCCATGCCACCATTGTCAAGGTGGCCGACCAGAGCTGCGGCTGCCTGTTGTGGCAACAACCCTCAAACCCACTGGTGGACACCAGCAGTTAGGGATGTTGTCAAACTGAAGAAATAGTCATATGGGGTCTTTTTGGCCTATGGGACTCCAGAGGCAGCAGATAGGTACTGGCAGTCCAAGCGGAATGTGGCTCGGGTGGTTGCGAAGACAAATACTCAGGCATGGGAGGAGTTTGGTGAGACCATGGAGCAACGTTTCCGTACGATTTTGACGGGATTCTGGTCCACCATCTGGCACCTCAGGAGGGGAAAGCAGTGCACTACCAACAATGTTTATAGTGGGGACGGTGTGCTGCTGACCTCGACTCAGGACAGAGTGGGTGGAGTATTTCGAAGACATTCTCAATCTCACTGGTACGTCTTCAAGTAAGGAAGCAGGGTTTGGGGACTTTGGGTTGGGTTCTCCAATCTCTGGAGCCGAGATCACAGAGGTGGTCATAAAGCTTCTTGGTGGCAAGGGGTGGATGAGATCCGCCCAGAGTTCCGGCTCTGGATGTTGTGTGGCTCTTTTGGTTGATGCAGCTCTACAATATTGCACTGGGTGCAGCTCCACTGGATTGGCTGACCGGACTGGTGGTCCCCTTATTTAAAAAGGGGGGACCACAGAATATGCTCCAACTACAAGGAGGATCACACTCCTGAGCCTCTCTGGGAAAGTTAATACAGGAGTTTTGGAGAGAAGGGTCTGTCGCATAGTTAAACCGCGGATCCAGGAGGAACAGAATGATTTTCGTCCTGGCCGTGGAACACTGGACCAGCTCTATACCCTTAGGGGGTCCTGGAGGGTGTGTGGGAGTTCGCCCAGTCTACATGTGTTCTGTAGATTTAGAAAAGGTGTTTGACCATGTCCCTTAGGAGGCCCTTGGTGGTTACTCTGGGAGTATGGGGTACCAGGCCCTTTGAGACAGGATGTTAGGTCCCTGTATGACCGGTGTCAGAGCTTGATCCTCATTGCCGGCAGTAAGTGGGACTTGTTTCTGGTTAGAGTTGGACTCCATCAAGGCTGCCCTTTGTCACAGATTCTGTTCATAACTTTTATGGACAGGATTTCTAGGTGCAGCCAAGATGTTTAGGGGATCTGTATTGGTGGCCTAGGGATAAAGGCTCTGCATTTTGCAGATGATGTGGTCCTGTTGGCTTCATCTGAATGTGATCACGAACCTTCGCTGGAGGTTTGCAGCCGAGTGTGAAGCAGCTAGGATGAGAATCAGCTCCTCTAAATCCGAGACCATGGTCTTGAGTCGGAAAACGGTAGAATGCCTTCTCCAGGTCAGCGATGAGGTCCTTCCCCAAGTGGAGGAGTTTAAGTATCTCAGGGTCTTGTTCAAAAGTGAGGGAAAGATGTAGCATGAGATTCTTAGGCAGATTGTTGCTGCCTCTACAGTACTCTTTGGGCGTTGTATCGGTTTGTCATGGTGAAGAGAGAGCTTTTCTGGAAGGCTGAGCTCTCGATTTACTGGTCGATCTACGTTCCTCCCTTAACCTATAATTACGAGCTTTGGCTAGTGACCGATAGAACGAGATCATGGATGCAGTCGGCCAAAATTGGTTTTCTCCAAGATATTTTATTTTA